TTATTATTAGTTATTATTATTATTTTATTATTATTATTATTATTTAGTATTAGTTATTCTATTATTGTATTATTATTCTTATTATTACTAGTAGTTCTAGAACTTTCTGGTTAATTAGTAATTGCTTAGTCACCTAGTTACTTAGTTGCTTAGTCACTTAGTCACTTAGTTGCTTAGCTGCTTAGTTGCTTAGTCGCTTAGTAATTAGTTGCTTAGTCGCTTAGTAATTAGTTGCTTAGTAATCATTAGTTATTAGTTACTAGAACCTTCTAGTCACTTAGTAATTATTTAGTTATTTAGTCACTTAGTCACTTAGTTGCTTAATGTTTAGTTGTTTAGTTGCTTAATTGCTTAGTTGCTTGGCTGCTTAGCCACTTAGCTCACAGATATATAAACTCTGCTAAATTCCCCAAGTGTGATTAAGCAACAGACACCTTCTTCCCTTTTATATTGTAAACACATCTTGGGATTCTTTAGAAACAGAAACCTAAAAATAGCCTTTCTTGTTATTATTTTAATAAATGACTTTTGATTATAAACTGTATTGATACTTCCTCTCTAGGGTAATTCCTACAGGCAAGGTTTATCTTTTCTTAGTAAAATAAAGTAAAATTAGTAGTATTGCATTATCTTTTCTGAACTGTCTCAGAGAAGAGTATAGTTTCTTGACAATGTCTAACAGAAGTTATACTTTTCTTTTGGATACTACATATATCTGTAAGAGATTCCCTATACTGTGTTGTCATTATAGTGTAAAAAATAAGAAGACTTTCATCTATAATACTAGTATTAATAACATTTTTTTAAAGTTAATTAATGTAACAAACTTTATAACAATAAAAATATTCAAATTGATACATAACTGTAAGAAATCATATAACAATTGAATTTGTATAATTAGTAATTACTACTAGATAAATTGCAAAGTTTATTCTAAGCACATGAGTATCTATAGTGAACAAAATTAGTATGTAACTATGAGAAAATTGTAAAGATTATACAACAATTAGTAATTATTATTAGCTAAATTGTGAAGTTCATTTTAAGCACATAAGTATCTAAAATAAACAAAAATCAAAAAATATGTATTTCCAAGTCTTGTTATTTGAATTTTATTATAGAAACTTTATTCACAAATGTAAATATTAAAGAATTTTTTTAATTTGTTAAAAACTGAATGTTACTATAAATTATTTTTAAGATCTTATGATAGCTGCACTAAAAATCATCTTATAAAGTATATACTGTATATTTTGGAATAGTTATCTTAAAAATTTTCCTACTAAAAAAAATTTCATTATTTCTTGCATTAAAATAATAATTGATTTAAACTGAAAAACAGATAAACAAGACATTTGCTAATATAATGAACAATGATAAGTATAGTAATAATATAGGGGAGTGCCAGTAGAAACTAAGCAATTCATTTTTAGTGTGTTTTTTTAAAATTTTAAATTAAAATATCTTAACAACTATTAAATCAAACTTGATAAATTTTTTTTATTTTGATTCTATAACTATATAGAATTAAAATAAAAAAAAAATTATCAAGTTTGGTTTAATAATTGTTGAGATATTTTGCTTTAAAGGTTTAAAAAAATTTACTTAGAAATAAATTGCTTGGTTTTTACTGGCACTCCCTTATATGATAGAGCTAGCTTAGAAATATCAGGATATGATAGTGCAGATAACAATGAAGCCTTCTCACAACCTTCTACTAGCAATTAACTATTAACCAAAAACTTGCAACAAAAAAAAAAGCTGAAAAGCCAAGAGACAGTTCAGTTAAACCATTTTATACAATAATAGTAATTAACAATATAGAAATGTAGGATTGTCATCATAAAACTTGTATCTTCCAAATAAAATATCTAAAAGATAGTTCTTTCTCAAATTTGTGAAGGCATTTAAGAAGTAAACATCATATTTCAGAGCTATGATTGAATGTGGTTGGATAAAAATTGTATCAAATAAAAATAGCAAATATAAATTTCATATAATGACAGAATCTTTACAAATGACAATAACACAAGCATTTAACAAACAGACTAAATATGTATTCAATAACTCAAAACAAAAAAAGTTTAATCATAATATTGCTGCTTTTATCATTAATAATCTTCAGTCATTTTCAATTCTTCAATTACTATTATTTAAGAGAATAATTGAAGAACTTGATAAATGAGCAAATATACTTAGTAAAGGTTATTTAAATAAATCTCTTATCAATGCTGAAGATAAAATTTTGTAAAATCTTCATAAATATGCATTTGATGATACTAAAATCTATTACACTTTATTCACTACTGATATGTAGATATCAGATAATAGCAACCCATATATAGAACTTATGATCCATTGAATCAATGATGATTTTTAATGAAAGAAATGATTAGTAGTATTTCATGTTTTCCTTATCCACATATTGCAAATCATCTTTTAAACAAAATATTTAAAATTTTAGATTATCTGCAGCTTAGAGATAAAACTGTTTGTAATATAATTGACAATGGGTCAAATATCAAATTATATGTAGAAAAGTTAGAGCATAAGTATAATATATTAAAAGTTTTTTGTTTTGGTCACACTTTACAACTTGCTATAAATGATGTACTAAAAGAATGCTCTAGTATTACAAATCTAATAAAAAAATACAAAGATGTCATATTACATTTTATTAGAAGCCTGAAGCAAAACCAATTTCTTTTAACAGCTCAAATAGAAATAGTGGATTAGAATAGGTTTTTTTGTATAGTCTGTGATATCTTAACAAGATTGAACTCAATGTTCTATTTGTTAAAACACTTAACTATTCTTAAACCAGCATTATATAAATATAAATTGCTTTTGGCTAAGGCTGATGAGAATAATTCACTACAGAGTTATAAAGAAAAAGAGCTATCTTCTGATGACTGAAATAAAATAGTTGATCTAGTTAAGTTACTACATTCCTATGAAGTTGTTTTAAAACTTCTATCAGGCTCAAAATATCTGACACTTTTACAAGCATGGTTTGCAATTAATTATATAAAAACAAAAATTAATCACACAATAATATATAATAATGATATTCAAAATTTTGGAAATAATCTTTATGAGTTAATTCAGACATGGTTTTCAGAACCAGCAAAACCAATTTAATTTGCTATTTTTTTTGATCCATAAACTAAATATATAGAAATATTTACAGAATACAAAAAACAAACAATCATTTCAGAAGCACGTGCTAAATATAATCATCTAAATTCTAATAACAAATCAGATAATATATTAGAAATAGAAGGTCAAATGTCTGATAATGAGATGGATAGTAAAGAAGATATTTTTCTAGTTTGACTTCTATTTCATTCTAATAGCAATCTAATCAAAATATTATAACTAATAATGAATTTGATTCATATTTGTTATTGCTAAAAGTTTTAAGCCAAACAGATGTACTCCAATGGTAGGCATCAAGAAAAGCAGAATACCTAATACTCATACAACTTGCTTACAAGTATTTATCCATTCCTACAACATTGGTACCATCTGAATGCCTTTTCTCATCTGCAGGCCTTACAATCACTGAAAAACGAATCTGTCTTAATTCTAAATATGCTGGAACAATTTTATTTCTCAAGATGGCTTTAAAGCTCTGATCAGGTTCCTATATTTTTGATTAAGGTTTTATTTTTTGTCAAAATTATTGTCATTTATTGATCAGAAATTATACTTACACATGTTTAGATAGTAAAGTAAAACTGCAAATTCCTGAAAAATTTTTAACAAATTATCTTGAATTTCTTGATAATAAAGAAAATCTTAATATAATCATTAATGGTGATGAATCACAAAATATGAGTGCAAAGGTCAAAGCACATTCAGTAGTTTTTAGATATCGATCATTATATTTTCAAAATTAGTTAGTAGTTTATAATATATAACCCTTGGAGAATACCAAAATAATAACAAGGTATTTTAACTTAAACAAAATAACAATTTACTACTTTTTATAGTCTAAAAATACTATGAATATTGCAAATAAGATATATATAATTGATATAGTAATTTATATTTTCAATAATATTCATTCATTATTAATAAAATTCAGGATTTATTTGTATTAAATAACATTTTAAATATATTCAATTTGCAGTGATGTCAAAAACAA